CAAAATGATAGATTCATTAACGAAAAACAAATAATTACAACTGATTCACTAGCCGGAATAGGAAGACTGTTCAAAGCAGCCTATACACCACAACACACTACAAGACGAAAAGAAAAATAAAAGACTCCCCACGGGAGAATAACACAACTTCCCAAAGGAGAAAAACACGAAAAAACCACTTCACAAAAGGAGAAAAAACACACCTAACAACAACAAAACCACAAACAACAAACTATAGAACACACAACAAAAATAGACAAAATCTAAACAGAAGCACAGGCCCTCAACTCCCGCCAGCAGCAACCGAGCCACACTTGCGAACGGCCACGACTGAAAACAGAAACACGACCCAACCCAGATCTAGAAACTGCAGCAGAGGCCTAACTAACCCGGACCAAAACGAGCTGAACCTCCGTCAACAAGAGCCACTCCGCTCCTCACCGAAAGCCCCAGCCGAAAAGTTCCCCAACACCAAACCCGTCAAAGAGAGCCGATCACCATTTCCGGCAACCCAGAATCTCAACGTCAAACCACTCGCCCCAACACCAAGAGATGGGGGGTCCAAGGGAGCTCACCCGACCACGAACTTAGCCACCGTCCACCTCCGGGCGCGCGAACGGTGTCGGCGACCACGAGACCACCCACATGCTGCCAGATCCCCACCTTCGCACCATCATGGCCACCAGGAGAGGAGACACACCACGCCGGGCTGTAGAGAACGCCTAATAGGGAAGCTCGCTGGCGTCGCGATGTGGGCGACTACGGCGGAAGCAGAGGCAAGATTAAGCGAGAGATAGAAAGACGAGGGTTACAGGTATGGAATTGGGGATTTCTGGGTAGAGAGAAATTCACAAATAACTATCTTGTAAACCTATTTATAGGACTTCCAGGCAATCTAGAAAGGGAAAGACAACAGTCATCTGCCACTTAAGGCAGGTAACAACCCACTTAAGGTTGTTCTAATGGGTAGAAACAGTCAGTCCATTTTTCAGGTGTTAAAACACCACTACTCCACCTAATTAAATAGTTATGTGGAGTTAAACGTTCAAGTTTAATGTACCTGGAGAGGTCTCACTCGAGTAGGTAAAAACTCCAAGTCCAAGTCCAACTTGAATTGAATTTCAATTGGGCCACAAATTTTCAAATAAAATTGCAGCAAAAAGATATATAGTGCCTTGATGCAGGGCTTGCAAAAAGATATATAGTGGTTGGGCCCAAGGCAAAGATATATAGTGCCTTGATGCAGGGATTGCAAAAAGATATATAGTGGTTGGGCCCAAGGCTGAAGTCCTGCACCAAGCCACCAAGCCCAATACCGGCCAAACCGTTCAAGTCCAGCCCCGAATCCAATTGCCAAGGGTCAAGACCCAAGTCCCATGCCAAGGCCCGTACTCGAGTCCGAGATGAGCCAAACCGGCCAGTCGACTGGCAAGCGGGTGCGTGCGCGTGTGGCCGAAGCTAACACCAACACTTGGTGCATATTTTTGTTGTTGTTGTTGCGACCTATCCAACTCTCTTTATTATAATAAAAAGAGCGACGAATGTCCTCTTAGCCTACAAGTTGAGTGAGGTGCCCTTGGCTTAGGGTCAAGGGTTCAAGTCTCCTGGAGCATAATGGTGGAACAATTAATATTGAAGAATATAAGCGACAGTGTGGAAGGGTGAAATATAGGACCTGTGGCTGGATTGGTGGGGCTAACATAAAGTTGGAGGGTCAGCATGGAACAATCATATCTATAGAAACTTGCAGTTGGATAGGTGGGGTCAACTTGGAGCTGAGAGGGTCAACATGAAGCAATCATTTGGGGATTGACTCCTTGTGCGCAGTAGATGAGGGTATTAGGTACCAGGTATCCATTGCGTGGCTACCGTAGTTTAATCGGATGCAGTTCTGAGGGGTCGAAGCTGTTTCCTCAAGGACTAGTCAGGTGCAAGCCTAGAACCTCGGCATAAACGAAAAATGAGAGTTAATCTCATTTAAGAGTCTAAAGTGGGAAAGGACTAACTTTTCGAATCCCACAATCATCAATTTATGTGTCTATTTATGGCTAACTTTAATCATTTTTTTCTCAATCAACGAAAATCAATTTTGAGAAAAAAAAAATACCACGAGTATGTACTTGAAAGTAAAATATTCCTACACAATTTAATTCAATCCAAATTAAATATCTAACCATAAAAATATCAGTCAAAATCGAATCAAACTCAATTTTTTCTAATTGATTTTCCAAATATCACGTTTCTCCATCACCACGAGGAAAAGGGACGAAATTTCACCCATGGTGGCCCTGTACCCAATTTTTGTCTAATCCCTACAGCGCATCAAAACAGAATAATCACATCAAATCAAACTTTATAAAAGACCCATCTAATTACAATCCCACATTCCAATGAAATGCACTCCAAACCAAACAAACCAAACAATAAAATGAATATCCTCTCCAAAACCACATCCCTCTTCCTCCTCATCCTCCTCTTCCAAACCACCCAATCAATCATCTTCAACATCACCAACAACTGTCCCTACACCATCTGGCCGGCCGCCGTCCCCGGCGGCGGCCGCCGCCTTGACCCCGGCCACAACTGGACCATCTCCTTCCTGGACGGCCCGCGGGCCGCCAAGATCTGGGCCCGCACCAACTGCACCTTCGACTCCTCGGGCAGGGGCCGCTGCCTGACCGGGGACTGCGACGGGCAGCTCGCTTGCGGGTCGTACGGTGCCGCCCCGCGAACCACGGCCGAGTACGGCCTCAACTCGTTCGGCCACATAGACTACTACGACATCTCGGTCATGAACGGGTTCAACGTGCCCGTGGAGTTCAGCCCGACAACAAACGGGTGCACCCGGCCCGTTAGGTGCCCGGTGGACCTGACCCGGGACTGCCTGGCCCAGCTGAGGACGCCCGGCGGGTGCCACAACCCGTGCACGGTTTACGGAACGGCCCAATACTGCTGCCATGACGGGCCCTGCCGGCCCACCGAGCTGTCCCGGTTTTTCAAGAGGAGGTGTCGGGACTTGTTCACGTACCCAGAGGATGACCCGACCAGCACGTGTACTTGCCCGGCCGGGACGAGTTATAGGGTGGTCTTCTGCCCTTAATTAAAGATGCTATATTATATTATATTATATTATATGTATATGAAGAAGCTTAATAAATAAATTTGGTGTGATGAATTCAAGATCTTGAGCATCCTCTGATTGATTGTGGTCATGAATTAGGTTAGACTTTTTTTTTTCTTTCTTTTCTTTTCTGGTAATAAATTTGTAGTTTTGTGGACTGTGTTAGTATGATACTTCGTGTATGTGGCTGTAGTTTCTTCAACACTTGCGTAAGATATGAGACTGGACAGATCACATGAAATGAAACATTTGTTTATATATAATTTCTTCAAGTGATTAATTATTAAGGTTTAAAGGGTCAATTTATATCAATTGGTGAACATTTGAGGGCAATTTTTACCTTATTTTATATATTTGGTAAACTTTAATTTCTGCCATTTTGCTAATGGGATTAAGAAGAATTAATAAATAGTCAATCAAAAGTCGTGTTTTTACTTGTTGTATATAAAAGGTTCCATTATGGAGCTAATTGTTGGTTTAATATCAAAATTGTACAAAAGTGTTTGAATGTTTTTTTAACTTTTGATTTTTGTAAGTTGTAATTTCTTAACATAAAAGTTGGTAAGTTTAATGGCAAATCTAGGCGACTACATAGAATATGTTTGGCACAAAAATCTGATAAACATCTTTTTTTTTTTATTGGATATTAATTTTTCAATATTCACATGGTTTTCTTTTCAATCTTGCCAACACAATCACCCTATATACAATTCTCAAATTCTCAAATGTGTTGAATCTAAGTGGTAGACTTGCACGCTTCGAAATCTTATGCGGCAATTTTTAAACTTTGTTCTTTAACTTGGATGAATTTTATTTATTTTCAATCCAAAAGTAACTAGACTTAGAATATCATAAACATACTAGATATGTATTGTCCATTTTAAAAGCATTAATTATGTTTATTTCCTATTATAGACGTGATTTAAGATATTTTTTTTTTCAATCTGTTTTTATTTAAATTATAACAATTTTACTAACTTAAATTATAAATATATTTAATAGTTAATAAATATTTTATTTATTATTATTTTTATATATATATATATCAAATTTATCAATCATGTCTTGATGAGATTCAATTTTATATCTATATCATACATACAAAATAAACAAATAATTTTATTTATCTTTATAATTAAAATTAAATTATCTATTAATATTAATTTAAAAAATAAAATTATTTAAATTAACTTAAGTACAAAGTAGTTATGTGATATAAATTAAAAAAAATATAATATAAGATGGTAAGCCGTGTAAATGACAAGTCATTTTAATATAAATAATAATATATTTTTTCAAAAAGTATTTAAAAGCTAAAACAATTTTTGTTGTTATTATTATTTAATTTAAAAAGTATTTAAGAACTAAAACAATTTTTGTTGTTATTATTATTTAATTTTAAATATATTTTTCTTAATAAGTATTCATGTAGTACACAAGTATTTTACTAGTTAAAAGATATAAATCAATCTTTATTACACACCTTCCAACGAAAATCCCCTTTATATAATTGTTCGAATGTGCGGAGTTTAAGTGGTAGACTCGCATGTTACGAGATCCTATGTTTCATTATTTGTCTAGAATAGATTCTAATTTACATTCAATTCAAAAATAAATATGTTCGGATTATCCATAAATATGTTGATTATTTAGGGTCATGTTACATGTATTAATTATATTTTAATATTATTTTTTATTATAACCATTGAATTTAAATGTATTTTAAAAGTTAATAAATATTGAATTTTTTATAAGTTTTATATATATAATATATCAAATTAATCATCTCTTGATGAGCTTCGATTTGACACCTATATTGTATGTATATAAAATAAATAAATTATATTTATCTTTATAACAATAATAAAATTATTTGTTAATATTAATTAAAATAATAAAATTATTTATCAATTAATATATTCATATTTCAAATAATTATATTATATAAGTTAGAAAAGATATTATAATATAAAACATGTAAGTCTCACAAGTAACAAGTGTTACTCTAAAATATATAATAATCCCCTCTATATATAATTTCAGAATGCCCTGAGCCTACGTGGCAAATTCTCATGCTTTGGAATCCTATTTGGCGAAAAATCATGTTTTGGAGTTAGGCTTGGATATAAATTAATATTCGTATTAATTGTATTTTAATATCATTTCCTATTATAACCATTGAATTGCAAATATATTTTAAAAGTTGATAACTTTTGTATTTCTTATCAGTTTTACATATATAATATATCAAATTAATCATCTTTTGATGAGCTTCGATTTGACATCCATATTGTATATATAAAATAAATAAATTATATTTATCTTTATAATAATAATAAAATTATCTATTAAAATTAATTAGAAAATAAAATTATTTATCAATTAATATTTTGCTTAATATTAAATAAACATATTCTACACTTATGCATATACATATCACCATAATATTTCTATTTACTTAAGATATATATTTTTGTACTTATGTAATAGTAAATAATATCGATATTATTATGATATAAGTAAAAAAATTCAACACGGGTTGACATTTTCATATACATATTGTATATATAAAATA